GAGTGAATAGATTCAAGTGAAAAATAATTACACGAAGGTGGAAAGGATGAAATTAGTTGCACGAAGGGAAAGGAATACGGGGAAATCTTTCGCGTGAGATCGGGAAACCTCGAGATGCACCACGGGATCACAGACGAACATCGTACAGTTAAACGGTCGCGCGTTATTATTATTTCCTCAAGTTTTACTCAAGTATCGAGGGCATAATGACCGGTTGTAAAATTTAACAAGCACCTTATAAAGCACACTCGTCGGCCTGTTCCCTCGCCATACGTAAAATTGCAATCGTGTATCGCGTTTCAAGCTTGCCCTGTGTCCAACGTGCCCATCGCCGTGTACCCTGACGAACTTGCACGATCCGACCCATAAAAAGAAACTGTTAATATATTAGAGTGAACGGCGAGGAATTGTAGAAACGCTTTTACGCGCAAGAGAGGCGCATATTTTAATCCTTTCACGACAAAGATATGGGCAACGATGAAAAATATACGAATTTTTCCTCAAAGAATAAAAGATAGTATCGTTACATCGATTGTGATCTCGTAAAGCATTATTATTAATTATCGCGTTCTAAATTTTTCACGATGCATCCTCCATTTCATTCCAATTTCAAAAATATTCATAAAGATCTTTATCTATATCGATCTTTATCTTCTAATTTTCTAACTTCCTAATTTTCTCTGAAAATTAAATTTCAACGAAATTCCAATTATCTCTACGATAATTCTCGCTACGAGAAAAATTGTAAAAGGACGTTTACTTCAAAGAAAAAAAAAAAAATATATTATTATCGGCCCAAGATCCATCCACTCAACCTCGGAACGGATATAATTGCCCTCGAAATTTTCATCTCTTATCGCGATCCCTCGAAAAAAAAGAAAGAAACAAGGTTGTCCAGGAACAGTTGGCGAAAATGAATCCGCGAATGAGCAAGGCTGCCGTGATGAGCGCGATCGTTTCTTTTCCTTCGAAATGACTTCATCCACGGACGATTCCAAGGATTTCGTTCGCGGAGAGGAAGCAAAAAGCAGGTAGCAATCACGTCGTGGAATGCGCGGGAAGGTCGAAATAATAGGCTGGTGCAGCACGAGGGAGGCGAAGACCCTCTTCTCTCTCTCTCTCTCTCTCTCTCTCTCT